GGTAATAATCAATGTATGAGGACTAAAATACATATAAATACATCTACGGTTACCTTTTCGCTCAGTGTTTCCGAGCTAATTCCTGTATCGACCTTTTTTCCCTTAACCCCTGAATCGTCATCCATAAGTTTTCTTCTCTTTTCCGCATCATGAAGTGTTGATTCTTTCGAAAATTTCTCAAATTGGGCTTGTTTCGATGTGTCATTGCGTATTTTTATTCTCTTTTTCGCAACTGTATTTGCTGCTGAACCTGCAAATACATGTTCCGCTTGAGTGGTTTGCAAATCGAAAGATGATCCTTCGAAATTGAGTGCTTTGGTCGGTATACCTCGGATAACCCTCTTGTAAGGAGTTGAATCAGCCATTGGAGAAGAAATTTCAAGTTTTCTATAAAAGCATAACAATGGTGATTATTTCTATAAAAAATAGTACAGAGATACAGAAGAATAGAGGTGCCAGCGAAAATCTAACAAGTTTAACACTTACCATAACTTTTTTGAGCAATCAATTTTGAAAATTGAGAGAGAGAATGGAGATGAATCAGTTGATAATGGTGGTTGTATTCGTGGGGAAGATACTGGATTGGGAGAGAGATAGTGGAGAGAGATGTGGGTTTAGCAAAATTGTATACAATACCTCTGTTATTGAGAGAGAGAAAAGAAAGTAGGAGAGAGAAAATTATTTCACAACGTATTTAATGACTTAACAGTAGGAAGTAACCATAAATACATAATTTATTATAAAACCTAAAAGGTAGCTATAGAAAATAAATTTTTAAAAAGGTATTTATTTATAATAAATAAGGTGTAAAGGTTTGCTATAGGAGGTAAAATTTCCTATTTTTATTGTCCCTGGTTTGCTCTGCATCCTTTAAAAAAACTTGTATATAAAGTTCAACAAACGAAATTGAAATTGATCCAAAATATTTGAAGGGTAAGTTTTATAGTCTAGGTACTCGTGAAAGTCAGAGAACAATAAGTATGAGTTCAATTCTCACTATTCCCTTCCTCTTTTTCATTTCTTGATCCCCTATGTAGATCTAGACAAATCTAGGAAAAGAAAAGCATAAGCTTAGGGACAAACATCCACTAGCATAGAGAAATGAAGACTACTGATTACTTAATGCCAATACATCTACACAAAAAGAAAATTACTACGATCTCCGCTGAGCAGAAATGAGCTTTTAAAATAAGAAATGACGGATACGTCAGTATCACAATTTGCTAAGGCTCTCGCCGTTTATGCAAGTTCATTTGTCTTGACACATGAGTCATTTCCACCCAGAAATTCAAGGTGAAGGTAAAACCAGATTCAACCGAATCCTACGTCCACAATTCAGAACGATTTTAGATAAATCTGACTGTCTGGCATTTTAGATACCAGACATCAAATCTGTGTGGTAACATCATGTCAGTGCAGAAACAAGAAAACATGACAATTCTTCGAAACTCCTGTTGTTGATTTAAGTTTTTCTTATCAAAGATTTTACTGCACATTTTCAATCAAAAGTTTTTTTCCCAAGATGGGATGTTCAATGTCCGGAACTCCATGTACATCTGTTCTGCCACTTTAGAATGACAGAGTGCTTCCAATACCCTACTTATGAACCATCTGGTTGGTCCCAGTTTAACAACTGCTTAAATGGAGATGCAAAGCCAGCAAAAACTGAAATCCAATCCTGACGTTGAGGGGTTCGTTGAATAGTATACCCCGTGTCAGCTCAATCCATTGAAATAGAAGTTGTCAAATGGATCTTTGGAAAGCTGAAAGCTACCACCACTATGACCATTAGCAACCAAAGCATGGATGCGTGGATTGAGTAGATATTGCTCGGCCTGCCAGTGTTCAGTGGACCCAAGTGGCGAATTCTCAAGAATCACCTGCTGCTCCGTTATGCTGATCTGGTTTACATGTGTGGGGTGGCCAATTGAATTTACATGTGTGGGGTGGCCAATTGAAGTAGATTCAGGCTCGGATGAAGATTTATTTGACAGAAGAGAGAGAGCACGAGGTAATTCTGGTTCCGCACCCATATTGAGAGACAACATGTTCTCCTTCACACCTGATAGAGAAACCAAAGAGTTTAGATTAATAATCAAACAATCACAATAATAATATACTTTTTCAAATAAAAGTAATGACATATTGTGTATTCTTAAACAATTTGGTGAATCTAATTATCTAGCATTTCCAGTTACTTCCGGGAACACGTGTGAAATTAAGAGAACTCTCAGAAAACTGATTAAAGACTGCTTCCCCTCAAACTTTATAGCATCTTTCACGATTCAGGGTGACAAGCATAGCATTTTCTACATTCTTCTCTCTTAATTTCTCCTTAGAAGCCTTCCACAAACACAATTTGGCTAATCATGAAAGAAAACAAACTAAATTGGATTCAAACAAGTGATTCCTATTATACCTACAAAGGGCAGAAAATTCTTCTGCTACCAGCAGCCTTGTAATTAGTTTACATGTTATATAAACTAAATGTTTTTATACCATCTACGAGAGGAAAACCAACAATTCAGTTACGTCTTCTTTACTCTGATCAGAAACCTATCAATGCTGGAGGCAAATTGCATAAGAAATCAAACACACAAGCATCTCCCATCACGCATCTCCAGACTCCCGTCAAATAAAGTGTAGATTTCAAGAAGAAGAATGAAACTTCTTGTATTTCAGTATGCTTTTACATCCAATAAGCACTAGTATTAATACAGAGGTTCCTATGGCTAATTTAGGAAAGAAAATCAATTACAGTTATTACACAAATCAATTAGAATAAAATCTCCTAGAATAGAATAGAATCTCCTAAAATTAAGTTTCCTACAATCAAGCTAGTCAACATAATCAAATCTCCTAAAATTAAGTTTCCTACAATTAAGCTAGTCAACATAATCAAATCTCCTAAAATTAAGTTTCCTACAATTAAGCTAGTCAACATAAAGCGTAACTCAAATTTTTTCCCAGCATTTCTCTGGCTTGCCCAAGAGTTCTCAATCAGATCCAAGAAGAAAACTATGTTCTACTTCTTAATGTACTAAATTTCTAGCCGCCTGCACATGGTTTCCTCGGCCGATGAAAGAAAATATATATTCTAAGAGTACCTGATGGAGTCTTTACATTCCACCAAATGAAAAGTGTCAGCACTAGATAACCTTTCTTTGCTAGTGGTATTCAGACAACTTGCCCACACCTCGACTAATCCACAGAGCACCTGCAACTCTCCACCAACACATGCAATCAATAACTTTGTCCACCAGAGTTTAGACAAATGGGACAAATTCACCTAGTATGCTTTTGTTTCAAAATTGTCACTCTAGCTGACTAGCTCTTTGACTGTCGGGCTACCCTCTTGGGGTGTACCAGCACTAGATACCAAGTATTTTCAAATAAACTTGACAAGTTTACTCATAGCTATAAAGTAAAGAAATAAACCTTTGCAACCCCTAATTTTTGGCATGCTTAGTGCATATTACTTATATAACACATGCTACTGAACACTTCACTTCTTTTCAACATTGCTTACAATGTGAAGCGTGAGGGAACCAACTTAACCATTCTCACCTATGTTGCTTAGACCTTTCAAAATCCCGGCTGCACCCGTGTCGATCCGACATGATTTGGGCATGGGTGCGGGATCCACACCAGAGCAAAACTGAATCGAGATGCAAAAGAATCTATATTCCCTATCTCATATTCTCTATCCCCTAAATTAGCCTAATTAGATTCTTCTTCTTTTTTTGTGTGGATTTCTTGACTTCTCGCCAAGAGGGCTATTTTGGTNGATGCGAAAGAATCTATATTCCCTATCTCGTATTCTCTATCCCCTAAATTAGCCTAATTAGATTCCATTTTCTTTTTTGTGGATTTCTTGACTTTTCGCCAAGAGGGGATTTTTGGTACTAATTAAATTCACTAAGTCTCTTAATTCTTAATCAATGAGTTAGGCTAAAATATCAAAAAATAGGAGCGAAAACTTGACTTAATCTGGACTTGTTTGGCTTTGTGCTTAGACAGCTCGCATTTCGTAAAAATAAAAAAGAGCATGACTCAACGTACCTTGGGTGCTTTGCTTTGATCAAGAAATAAAGATTGATTGGATATTCAATTTTAGCTCAATAACTTTAATTAATCGAAATATATAATTATGTGTCGTACTACATTTATTGGCCATATTCCAGCACTTGTATCCACAATCCGAACCATATCCCAAAATCCTAAAATTTATGTGATGAAGAATCCCACCTCTAGATCCGCACCCATACTGGATACCCGCACCCGAGTTTGAAACTTATTATCTCACCCTCTTTCAGTTGTGAACCTTGAGGCGGTAACAAGTTTATGTTTTCACCTAAATCTTTCAATTTTCCTAGATACTACGTGTGCAAGAAGAGAGAAAATAATTAATGATCCACAACCACTACAAACTTTTATTAGTTTTTGATACATCCAAGTTAGGTGTTACGAACCAGTTGATCACCCACCAACAAACTGGTTAAGACGGTCTATATTCAGCTTCAACCATTATTTTAGGTCTCAGAAATAAAACTTGGCTAATTTGCAATTGAACATATCTTATGAACTTGAACCCTCGTGAGCCTAGCATTAGGCCTTTAAAAGAAACTAAGGATAGACAATCCCAAATCAGGTAACACCAATCATTTCTACCATTTGCAGAACCAATCTTTGTACCCAAACAAACAAGGCTTTTTTTTATTTTTTACAATAGCCCCCACAAACAAGGGTTTCCTATGGCATAAAAGTAAAGCTTTCAATAAGGTGCTTCTTGTCACTCATCAGATATAGGTCAGTGTCACAAAAGGAACATTCAGAATATGAAATTTATCCAATAGGTTCACCAGGAAGGTTTAGTACTCTTGCAAGCCATGTGGTTATAATGCAAATATCAGAAGCTATACGTAGATACTATTGCAGCCACAAAAAGCCATTAGTAATTATCCAATAACTTGATAGAAATCTTTAGAGAGAGCTAGCAGTAATTTTTTATTTTTTTTGATAAGGTAAAGATTTTATTAATAAAGGTACCAAGATGGTACAAAGGTTACATCAAGAGCAGTCAAACACCTGCAACAGCAGAACTTCAGTTACAAGTTTCCTAGCAAATCCAAAAACTCTAAATACTGATCCGCACTCTCAGCTAAACACCGTTTACACCAAAAAAGAATTGCATACAATTATTTTTAATTCTAGAGATATGAATCCTCCTATTCTCAAAGCAAGCACTGTTTCTTTCTTCTCAAATGGTCCAGAAGATGCATAAAGGAATGGTTCTCCAAAGCTGCTTCTTACTTCTTATTATCTTCTGTCCTTGCCAGCTAAATAATAATGATTTTATGTCTAAAGGCATAGTCTAAGAAACACCACACAGATTCAAGAAAAGCTCCCAGCACTGTTTAGCAATTTTACAGTGGATAAACAGGTGGTTAACAATTTCCAACTCTTCTTCACATAAATAGCACCTGTTACTTAGACTAAATCCTCTTTTTTGTAGATTATCTTGCGCAAGACAAGCTTCTCTGATGGCAACCCACCCAAGACAAGCCACTTTGGTAGGCGCTCTGGTTCTCCATAACATTTCCAAGGCCAATTAGAATCATAAGAATCAGATTGTTTCTGGAGAAGGTTACATCAGCTTTTAACAGAGTATTGCATTTCACTACTTGCTGTCCATACCAATTGATCCTCCTTGTTTTGCTCTATCACTGTTGTGTTCAACAATTGGAGTATCTATCCCACTTCTTCCATCTCTCAGTCATTAAATCCTCTTCTGAAGTTTAATTGCCAGCCATTTGTGGAGTAAAACTCGGCAACATGTCCATTGTTCATTTTTCTTAGCACCGAGGGGAAGTCCCAAATAAACTGTAGGTAAATTCTCCACCTTACATCCCATTACATCTGCTAATTCCTCTATGTAGTGATCTGCGTTAATGCTGAACAAACGACTCTTTGCTAGATTCACCTTTAATCCTGACACAGCTTCAAAGGCTAAAAGAACCCCCTCCCCTTTGGTACAAAATTTGTTCTTTCTCTGCTCCACAAATCATCAAGGTATCATCTGCATAGAGGATATGTGTAATATCACAGCTAACATCACCCCTTCTTCTGATATTCAAACCTCTGAGCCAGCCCATTAGCTCTGCTCTTTTCAGCATATTACCGAGAATTTCCATCACCGACACAAAAAGATATGGAGATAAAGGATCCCCCTGTCTTATCCCCCTAGTAGATTTAAAGAAACCTAGAGGGTTTCCATTGATAAGAACTGAGAATCTTACTGTGGAGATGCAATAGTCAATCCAACTTATCCACTTTTCCCCAAAGTTCATTTGTTTCATGATATCTAGTAGGCATGCCCAGTTAACATGGTCATATGCCTTCTCAAGATCTAATTTGCATAACACCCCTTGTCTTTTAGTTTTGAGAAAATATTCCACACATTCATTTGCAACCATTGATTCATCAACAATCTGTCTCCCTCTTATGAATGCATTTTGATTATCTGATATCAAATTCCCTATCACCAGCTTGAGTCTTTCTGCTAGCACTTTAGCAATGATTTTGTATACAGACCCCAATAAGCTGATTGGTTTGAAATCCTTTATTTCTATTGCCTCCCTCTTTTTTGGTATCAAAGCAATGAAAGTTGCATTCAAGCTTTTAGTAAAATTTGCTTCCTGAAAGAACAAATCTATAGTATTCCACACATCACCCCTGACTATACTCCAACACTTTTGAAAGAAATGTAGATTGAAACCATCTGGACCTGGTGCCTAATCTCCTTTAAACAGCTTTATAACCCTTTCCACCTCTTCCATTGTGACAGGCCTCTGAATCCATTCTTTTTCCTCCTCTGATAGTTTATTTAAATCATCCGCATTCCACTTTGGCCTTCAATGTTCAGATTCACTAAAACGATTATTGTAGAACCCCACAATATGCTCCTTTATCAAAAGCATTAATAGAAGTAATATCCAACACAAAAGCAGCAATATCCAACACAAAAGCAGAGATCTTTCTATTAGGTCAAGAAAAGAAAAGATTAATGATGGAATTTCGTGCATAATATAGGAGAACTACAAACAGAAACAATTATAGTGCGGGGTTCCTTGGTCGTGAAACAAACCTTGGCTGAAGACCTCGGTGGTGGTGCCCTTGGATGCATCGGTCTGCATTTTAGTTGCCCCTGGAAGCTTGATTTCCCCCACAAGTGACTGCACATTAATACTGCCAGCTTTGTAAGGCTTTGAAGTTAACCCTCTTGTTATTGTGAACTTGGGAACTTCAGAGGTTCCCCGGGTAGAATCTGCAGTAGTTTTAGATTGGAGAAGGAGGCCATTGTTGAATACAAAATTCATCGATTTGCTATTATCTGTAAATGTAGAAGCACATACAATGATACTTAGTGGCTAAGCACAAAACAAAACAATGTAAGAAGTGTCTTTCAGTTAGATGATAAGGTAGAGACCTGAAAATAAAAGGTTTCAGTTAGCTCCCTACTGATATCCCAACCACAATCTCCAGCACCACAACAAGAAAGGGATAATAAGACAACAGAACTTGGAAAATGTAAGATGAGGTGAACTAAAAGTTGGATAAACCTCCACTGGCAGAGCATGAGCAAGGAAACACGACGGTATGATACTTATAGAAGACTTAAAGTAAAAGCCATATTCCGAAGTCAGTAGAAGCATTGATCGACATAAGCAGCATATCTCATTTCACATGCAGAACCTCGTGGGCTTACTTTCCAAAAGACAATTGTCGGAGCGCAAATATTCTTACAGGTATGCATCATTTAATTGAATAAAACTGATATCTGATGTCTTAAAATGTATGGATTATGCAAAACAATGCCACAAAAATTGGTTGTTTTCCAGAAAAGTAATTTCTAATAGAAATATTGACAATTAGCCACACATTCCTGTCCTTGTTATATTATTCTTCTTTGTAGCTCTTGCTGAAGCGTTTCATATGAATGATCATGTTATAGTTCAGAAGAAGCCCAATCTTAACATAGGCACCATACCATAGAACCATGAAGAAAGCCTAGTCGAGTTAAATTGGATAGTTTCCTGCTGTGGCTTGCGGCGGCGTGCATTGTGATCAGAAAGCCTCCTGCGACAGCTTCGCTTCTTTTCATCAAAATCAGACAAGCTATGGAACCTTCAGTGGGGAAAAAAAGGAATGGGCCATTATGATCTCAAATATGCTTAATTACTGAGGACATATTAACCCCCTCCCCCCCCCCCCCC